GTCTTGAAGCCAGACAATCGACTTGCAGCTCTCCCTCCCCTCCCTCTCTCTCCACGTTCTGCTCCCACTTGCTCTCCCCCGGCCCCATCCCCTCCCCTCCCGGCGGAAAGCCCCCAGAAAGCAACAAAGCTGAGCCGAGAGAAACAAACAAAACAAACACACCGGGCCAGACAAGCAATCGACAAAACTTTGCAAAGCAGAAACAAAAAAGGAAAAACTAACCAACCTCAACCAACCAGACCCCGAGCCACCCGGGGCGCCCTCTCGCACCCTTGCACACACAAAAGGCGGCGCGCCGGAGCCCGAGACCCGGGAGCCGCCGCCGCCAGCAGCCAGGGGAGCAGGAAGTCCGGACGCGGCCCCCATAGATATGGCAATGGTAGTCAGCACGTGGCGCGACCCCCAGGACGAGGTGCCCGGCTCTCAGGGCAGCCAGGCCTCGCAGGCGCCGCCCGTGCCCGGCCCGCCGCCCGGCGCCCCGCACACGCCACAGACACCCGGCCAAGGGGGCCCGGCCAGCACGCCGGCCCAGACGGCGGCCGGCGGCCAGGGCGGCCCTGGCGGTCCGGGCGGTGACAAGCAGCAGCAGCAGCAGCACATCGAGTGCGTGGTGTGCGGGGACAAGTCGAGCGGCAAGCACTACGGCCAGTTCACGTGCGAGGGCTGCAAGAGCTTCTTCAAGCGCAGCGTGCGGAGGAACCTGAGCTACACGTGCCGCGCCAACCGGAACTGTCCCATCGACCAGCACCACCGCAACCAGTGCCAGTACTGCCGCCTCAAAAAGTGCCTCAAAGTGGGCATGAGACGGGAAGGTATCGGCCTCTCATTTCTACCCCCCTCGCCTGGGGTCCCGGGGCCCTGGGTGCGTTTGGCTAGCCTGCTCTGGGTAAGGACACGGAAGCCCCAAGCTCTTCTCTTCGTATTGCAGCTGAAAGGGGTTTTATACTAGAAGCAAGTTCTGCATTGGAACCCAGATCCCCAAATCCGCATGCTTTGGCCGACTGATTTCCTCTTCTACTCTCACTTCGGGCTCTTTTAATTTTCTTTGCATTGACTGCCAGTTCATTCGAGTTCGCCTTTCTGCAAGTGATGGGGTGTTGTTTGTTGCTGTTTTAAAGCCTGGTTTACTTCTCTCTCTTTCCTCTCAGTTTTTTTTCTCTCTCCTTGTTTTTCCTGCATGTTCAACACATGTCCCTCCTCCCCACCCCTCTCCCCAGCCCCCACCCGCTCAAAAAAAAAAAAAACCCAACAACCTGAGATTGTACTTTTGTACAGGAGGTTCAAATTACAAATGGCAATTTTACGCACTTCGCCGTATTAACGCTGCCGCCCGGGCAGCACTCATGTGACCCTCCGTGGATTAACATTCGGCTGGAAAAAAAAAAAAAAACTCTGTTTTCTTTTTTCCTTTCACTTTTGAAAGGAGGAGAGCGCGATAGGGAGTAGGGGAAGGGTGGGCGAGGGGCCCTGGGCGGCTGCTTTCGCTCTGCGCGAGTTGGGTCTTTGTGATATGAAATTCGCCGAGCGCCGCAAGCCGTGCTCGGCCAATGGCGCGCTCGGCGCCGGGCGCGGGCTCCGGGTTGGGGCGAGCGAACGCCGCGGTTTCTTTGTGTTTCTGCGAGAGCGACTCTCCCCGTCCAGCGTCAGATAACAGCTCGTGCCCGAGCCTGGCCGGCTTTCCCCGGCCCTCCCCGGGCTGCGCCGGCCGCCCGCTCCCCGCCTCTCCCCGGCTTCCTCTCGCCTCGGCCGGCCTGTCTCTCCGCCCTCTCCCTTCGTTTCTCTTCCTCGGAGCACACCGATTAGGCTACCGCCAGACCTCGGTTCTCAGCTTGTCTCTCACCGGGGGTGGCCCGCGGGGCTGGGGTTGTGGGGTTGGGGGAAAGCGGTTCCGGGGTGGCCACAGGCCGTCCGGGGTGCAGCTTGATGTCTTTTGCAAAAGCGTCTCACCCTCCCCCCAGCCTCGCCCCTCCCGCTCCCTCTCCTCCAATCAATAAAAAATATCAGCCGTTTAGCAGTAAGGAAGAAAGATGCCCCCAGAATGCTCCATCCCTCCCATCGTGCCGGGGACCGCGAGGCAAAGCGGCCAATTCTGGGTCCTCGGCCGCCCAGACCGGAGTGGGCCTCCGAGGCCAGTGTGCCGCCCTGGCCGCCAGAGCTTGCCTGGGTGGTGATTTGAGAGGAGTGCAGCCGGGCTCCCGGCGACTCCCAGGTCTGTGGCCCTAGCGCGCTGGTGAGAGGGGCAGGACTGCCTGTTCCTGCGCCCCGCGGGGTCTGGGTCAGGTGGGGGTCGGGCTGGGGCAAACACTGCCGGGGGAGCAGGGGAACGAAGCTGGTCATTAACTGCGGAGTGTCTCCTTTCCTCCCTGCAGCGGTGCAGAGGGGCAGGATGCCGCCCACCCAGCCGACCCACGGGCAGTTTGCGCTGACCAACGGGGACCCCCTCAACTGCCACTCGTACCTGTCCGGATATATTTCTCTGCTGCTGCGCGCCGAACCCTATCCCACGTCGCGCTTCGGCAGCCAGTGCATGCAGCCCAACAACATCATGGGCATCGAGAACATTTGCGAACTGGCCGCGCGGATGCTCTTCAGCGCCGTCGAGTGGGCCCGGAACATCCCCTTCTTCCCTGACCTGCAGATCACCGACCAGGTGGCCCTGCTTCGCCTCACCTGGAGCGAGCTGTTCGTGCTGAACGCGGCACAGTGCTCCATGCCCCTCCACGTCGCCCCGCTACTGGCCGCCGCCGGCCTACACGCCTCGCCCATGTCCGCCGACCGGGTGGTCGCCTTTATGGACCACATACGGATCTTCCAAGAGCAAGTGGAGAAGCTCAAAGCGCTGCACGTCGACTCCGCCGAGTACAGCTGCCTCAAGGCCATAGTCCTGTTCACCTCAGGTAGGAAGGAGCCCTGCCCTCTCATGCCCACGCGCTCCTAGCTCAGAGTTAGGGCCTAAACTCTTAGGAGCCCCCAGAACTAGTCCAGCCTCCCCCTTAAAAAGCCAAACTGTCTGTGCAACTTGGAATGGGAACTTTGCATAGCTGTTGGGGCCCCACCAGGCCTGTCCTGGAGAGAGGGGAGAGGAGAGGAAGGCTGGGTTGCAAGAAGGATGCTTCAGACACAGACTCTCAAAACAGGCCATGGGGAAGCCTCTCAGGCCTGTTCCCCTCCCACCAGACTAGGATGCATGCTTCTGCTCCTTCCCTTAGCTCAGGCCCTCTGGGCCAGCTGAGCCTGTGGAATCTCTTGTACCCCATGGCTTTCTCTGTCACCCTGGCTGAACCTCTAGAAGATGCCCTTAGGCACTGGAGCAGTCTTGGTATCATCCCTGCAGGGGAAAGTTTGCCCCTGCAGGGGAAAAGTTTGCCTGCTAATTCAGTAGGAGTTGGAGCTCCAGGCACATCCAACCTGAGGGCAGCAATTTTCAAAATCATATTTTAATCATATTTTTATTAAAACAATGCAGACTGCCAGGAGAGGGGAAAGAGCTGTCAGAAAGGGGCAAGAGGAAGAAAGGGGCCATCATAACTCTTCAGAATGCCTGTAGGGGGTTGAAGACTCTGGCCTCTCGCTTCCCCTGCCCAGGCAAACCGTTAAGGCAATTTTCAAATAACCTAAAGTGTATGCCAACTTGGGCTGGGTATGAGTATTGCTGGAGATATAAAACCATCATTGACTGCATTATGAAATCTAATTAGTTTGCAGGTAGTTTAACCTATGTGAGTAATAGACCTAATATTAATTAACTCTTGAGGCCAAACGATTGTTGAAGGTGTCTGGCTTACCACTTTGGGCCACACCTGAGCCTTTTGGCTGCCTCCAGGCTGAGTTCAGCAGAGCCCAGGTGGGTGGAAATCACCCCTTCCACATTCCTGTTCTAAGTTGTCAGCTGATCCCTTTGTCACAGCTGAGAGGGGAAGGGGTTCCCAGTTCAGGATAACAAACATCTGGACCTGGGTAGGGCTTGGAACCTAGTCACCCACTGCAGTTTTTGCAGCTTGTAATCAGGATACAAGGAGAGCTGTGGAATTCCTGTGGCAGACAAAAAGATCCAATTCCTTACTGTTACAAGGAATTCTGGGGGCCCAAGTCATTAGCTGAATCTATTGCAGGTTCTGAGTCCTTTACCCACTGTCTTTTACATATTGCTGCTCTTCACATAAAATCCACCGCCTCCACTGCCACCCCAAATTCTGCCTTTGAAAGTCCTTAGGTAATCAATTAAAGGACAGTGTCTGGGCAAGGAAGAGCTGTATGCAGAGGCTTGGATCTGGATTATTTTTCTCGGGGGACCTGTCATAACTAGAACATTTGCCTGATGCAGAGGTACAGGCAGGATCTTCCCCTAGCCTATAGCCACCTTCACCCCTTCCCAAAACCCTAACCCAGCCCAAGTTCCCAGACCATCTGGGTGCTGGTTCATTTCTTGATGTCCTTGTTAGCTCTTAGACTTACACTTGGTCTTCCAAGGAAAGAAATGTCTGATACTGTCGTAACAGTTTAATTTATTACTATTTGCAAAATGTAGAGGCCTGTGTGGAGAATGCAAATCACCTCACAAAGAGATAAAGGTTCCTGTTATCTGATTCTGAGACAGTCCGCTGTAAGAAGGAGTCCTATAACAGATCTTTTAATTCCTGAGCACAGACACCAATGCATTCTGTATACATGCAAAGTCCTAGATCCACACATGAGGAGATTGTATGTGTGTTCTGTTTCTTGGGGTGGATGTGGTGGCAGCTCTTTTTGAATATCTCCTTTAAGAATTCACAGTATGCATGTGTTAGCCCTCGTCTTGCTTGGGGAGCCCCCAAAGGTCAGGTCACAACCTGCACCGCCTTCACTGAGAAGCCTCTCATTTCAAAGGCACTTATTGTATTTTCACGTATCCGAAAAAGAAAAGTGTTTTCCTGAAGATAACGGGGAGGGGTCTCTTCTTGGAGGGACCTGGGTGTAAAAAAAAAAAAATAAGGGAGGGGTGGTGGTAGGAGAAAAAGGGAGAGAGAAGAAAAGGAGGGAAAAGAAACAGCTCAAATGAACAGAGAGATCACAGTTTGCATGGCTGCCCATCAATAGGCTAAACTGACAAGATCAGTTTTAAAGGGCCACTTAAATCAGTTTCAAAGACTGGAGAAAAATGAGTCGCCCTCTTTGGGGAGAATCTGAGGCTGGGTCATGGGCGCCATTACCCGGGGCTGGGCCAGGTTGTTGCCCCCCCCAACACTGTATAATTATAAGCCAAACTATTATTTACAGAGGATGAGGGGGCGGAGCACTGGCAGTTTTGGTTTCATCTGTTTGTCTGTCTGTTTACTGACCTGGGCCAGATTTACCCAATGCACTTTGCTTGGGCCTCCCAGTGACCAAGCCTGAGGACTCGGACAGGGAAAGCCTGCCACGCATTGAGCTGTGTTTTATTTTAAAGCAAATACCCCAGGACCATCTCTTGCGGTCCCCACCCCCCCAAACCCCACCCCACCCCAGTTTTCAGTATGTAGGCATTTGCTCCAACTCCGGTTGGGGCAGTTTGACAGAGCACTGTACACACACCTCATGTGACCCATTTCAGACCTCTTAATCTGATGACTGAATTCTTCGTCTTCTTTTTTTTTTTTTTTTAAACTTTCTTCCAGATGCCTGTGGTCTCTCTGATGTAGCCCATGTGGAAAGCTTGCAGGAAAAGTCCCAGTGTGCTTTGGAAGAATACGTTAGGAGCCAGTACCCCAACCAACCAACGCGATTCGGAAAGCTTTTGCTTCGTCTCCCTTCCCTCCGCACGGTCTCCTCCTCAGTCATAGAGCAATTGTTTTTCGTCCGTTTGGTAGGTAAAACCCCCATCGAAACCCTCATCCGGGATATGTTACTGTCCGGCAGCAGTTTTAACTGGCCGTATATGGCAATTCAATAAATAAATAAATCAAGATAAGAAGGGGGAGTGAAACAGAGAGAAAGAAAAGGCAAAAGACTGGTTTGTTTGCTTAAATTCCTTCTATTAAGAAAGGATATAAAAGGATGTTACAAGTTTGCTAAAAGAAGAGAGGGGAAGAATTTAATGGACTGTGAATTTCCAAAAAAAAAAAGACTGTCAAATGAACTTTTACAGAATGCATTAAAAAAACAAACAAACTCCTGTGTCGGTCAGAACAACTTGCTACTTATCATTTTTGTATAAAAAGGAAATTAGTCTTTTTCTTTTTTTGGTAAATTTTGGAAAAATATTGCTAAAAGTGCATTTAAGGAGATTGGGAGAAAATTAGCAGAATGGAGAAAGTAAGTCTTTTTTTTTTTCCAAATTATTAATTGTCCTGTGTCTATGTACCTCTAGCTGTTCTTTTTTGTACTTTTCTGGTTCCAAACCAGTTTATTCTGTGGTTCTATAATAAGTTTTGATATAATCTTGGCTTCTTAAAAACTGTGTATCCTTAAAATATATGTTCTGCAAGAATTAAAACTCAGTCCATGAAAATATCATAGGAAGACATAAAACTTTAAAAGGCAACTCAAAGATGATGGAAACGCACTTACAAGTGGTGACCAAAAATTTTAGGTGAAGTTGAGCACTCTAATTTGAGAACTGGAGGAACCACATACAACACTTAACTTCCCCTACCCTGCCCACCCCCCAAAAAAAAGATACCATGACAAACCTAGCTTTTTAAAAATATTTTAAGAAAGAGAATGAACTGTGGAATTTATTGGCAGCCAAGGAATGTGTCCAAGACACATGCTGAGGTTTTGAATAAAAAGTGAACTTTGTAATTTGAATTGGGTCCCGCTTACTTCTTGAATTGTTATGAAAATCCTATATCTGTTTGTATATTTGCAAACCCTTTGTATTATAATTGTTGATATTTTCCCTTTTTAAAAAATACCATTGAAATCAGCATGACAAAATAACACTGTTGGCACTTATAGGTAACGTGATTGATTCAGTATCTTAGAGTTTACAGTTTGTGTTTTAAAAAAACTGAAGGTTTTTTTTTAAGTGCAACATTTCTGTATACTGTAAAAGTTATAATAACTGAACTGTTTGGTCGAGTCTTTGTGTGTTATATTCCAAGGAAAATTGAAAGTATTCAGAAATTAAAATATTATTTGATATCTGAAACCTGTTTGGCTGTCCCCACTCACTGTCTTTCCTTCGAGAAGCCCCTGTGAGCTCTCACTGAGCTGGGCCGGGGGCTCTATTTGTTTACTCCCCTCAGCCAGTTTGTTCAAAGGTAGACTAGTGTATTTGCCTGTTTAATTTGGGTGTGTGGGGGGGAGCTGAAGTTAATGGTTTATCTATGGTTTAGGAAGTGCCATACTGATATAGTAAACCACCCCCATTCACCTAATCCTTCTTTTAATTAAAAATGGATTTTCCAGGAAAAAAAAAAGGCCCTTATATTTGTCACACTTAAGTGCCTGCTTAGGGAAGGTATTGTGAAAAGTATTAGAAATCTTGAGATCAGTATCTATTTTATGATGAGGAAAAAATACTGTTTTGTACATTTCTGACAGTTACGCAGAAGACCGTTCAAGCAAGCTATCACAGCCTTGTAAATAGAAGGCAGTTGTTTGCAATGAGTTTTTCCTTAAGTAGGTGTGATTTTTAAAAATATTCTGTGGTTCTCGTCTAGTGTGGTTGTTGAGAGGATTTCAAATTCAGTGGTATAGCTTAGAGCGGCTGAAGGGTTTATTTTTAATGTATATATGATAACTTGAAGTTGGCCTTCCTCCCCCCTCCCCCCGTACGTTCATTCTGTGAGAGCATGACCACAGGTCAAGGGAATCTTTTCCATTGGAGTTCTGTACATAAAAACACGTCGACATTTTGACATTTCAGATTGTGTAGATGCAGTGTGTACTGCTCTTGGGATCCTTTGTCCTTAAAAGCCAAATTAAGAAAAGGAAGAGAAAGAAAGAAAAAGAAAGAAAGAAGGAAACTTTACAGGGTGTGCGGATTTGGAAGTATCTTGTTTTGGAGTCTTTTCCTCTTTCTCTTTTCCTGGTTCGGAGGAAGCTCGGTGTGTGGGAGATTTTGCAATTTTTGTTCCTATTGAGGCTTTGCAGCAGCCCCACCACTGTCCCGTGCTGTGGTTTGATTTTAAAAGGGGGTGGTGGGTAAGGGGATGTGAAAGAAAAGGGATCATTTTGTAAAGTGTATTAAACTTTGATACTCAGTTCCAGTCAATACATGTAGACCAGAAAAATCTGTCTGATTTGTGCATTTGAGCGGAGTTCTCCATCTGACCCTCAGCTTCTTTCTGTAGATATATACATACGTAAATATAAGTATGTTCTTATGGCAGAACATCGCTGACCTCTAGATCGAGGTTTTGTAGGTTGTTGTTTTTTTTCTCCTCTTGCAAGTGCTATCCATGTGAGTGTGTGAAGTTTCTCTAATAAGTAAAACACAGGCCCTTTTCCTTGTTTGTTTTGTGTTAGTTTATTGTAAACAGCCATTTGTTGTAAATTATTATTGGCATTAAATTATAATTTATGATTTTCAAAGCAAAAGTCCCTGTTTTATTATGCTTTAAGCATGTGTTCTAGACGTTGGAAATCTCTCTCTCACTCTCTCTAAGTTTCAGCAGTGAGCTTGGGGTCTGCGAGGCAGAAAAACAGGACCCAAAATTTTTCAAACGGTTAAAACAAAACCCCTTGTATATGTTTAGAGTGGCCGGAGGAGGATCTGTTTAGAGTCTTGAGTTTGGTTTAAGTTTATTGCATTTAAAGAAAGTTTTTCTTTTCACGCTGAGTTAGAACAAAAGATCTTTGCTGCGACTGAATTGGACAAAAGACGAGGGCTGGGACCCAGAGAGTGCGTTCTGTGTGAAATTGACGAGATCTTTAAAAAAGCTGCTAAACATGGCGAC